CAGACTGCAGAAGTTGGTGAAAATCTACAAGTTCTTCACCTTTAGCTTTAGTGGTTGGTGCTTAAACTTGAATATTAGTAGTGTTGACTGGTGTTCCTGGTATGCATTCCTGGTATGGATATTCTCCTATCACTGACAGCATTGTACTTCAGAATAGATCTTGAAATGTTCATTGGTAAGACCAATGAATTCCATGAGTCTGGGCCCGCTGGCCTACTTCATTTGTTGTGAAGTGCTTTCCTTGATCTGAGGCAATACTGTGTGGAATACCATGACAGTGGATAAGGCATTTTGTAAGTCCATAGATGTACATTTTACAGAGGCATTGCATGCAGGGGATACAAATTTGTATCCAGAATAAGTGATATGCAAGTAAGAATAAAACACTGCCCTTTCCATGATGGAAGCAGTCCAGTGTAATCAACCTACCACCAGGTTGCTGGCTGATCAGCCCAGAGAATGGTACCATATCAGGAACTCACAGTTGGTCTCTGTTGCTGGCAGACTGGGCATTCAGCAGTGGTTGTACCTAAGTTGGTCTTGGTGAGTGGATGTCCATGTTGCTCCCTCCATAGCCTCCATCCTTGTCACCATGGCCCTTTGGTTCATGAGCCCTTTGGGCAATGAAAGCATTGTCTGGGAGAAAAGATCGACTGGTATCCACAGAACACCTCATCCTATCCACTTGATTATTAAAATACTCTGTTACCAATTTCACTCTTTGGTGACCGTTCACATGACACAAAAATATCTTCACATCTTTTTCCCATTCAAAGAAATCCACCCATTTACCTCTTGTTCATATCCTCCTTGTCATCAATTTTTCAATCATGTTCATTTCAAATCCCTGACTATTCAGGCAAACCATTGGCCACAGTGCATGAATCACTACACAACCACACATCTGGCCATTTCCAAGCAAAATGAGCAATTATGTGCACTGCTCAAAGTTCTGGCGACTGGGAGGATATCCCTTTACTATCGCCCTTCAGGGAAGTCCCGTAAATTACCTGCAGTGCTGCAGCTGTCCACATTTCAGTGATGCCTGCATATTGTGCAGAACCATCTGTAAATCAGGCATGAGTTTTCTTCAGTCGACCGATCATAGGGAACTCCCCATGGGGCCAAAGATGCAGGCTGAATGGGAGAAGGAAATGTAGCAGAAGTAGGGACTGTAGGCATTTGGGCCAATTCCTTATGTAACTAACTTCTGCCTTCAGGGTCTGCTAGAGCCCTATCTCATATATACCACTTCCATTTGATGATAGAATGCTGCTATGCATGCCTAGTCTGTGGCTTTTTGGGTCAGGCAACACTCAGTTCATGAAAGACAGCTTAAGTTTTATGGTAACAAGTTTCTACTAAGGTCCAGTAGCAAGCCAAAAGCTGTTTCTTAAAAGAAAGGTAGTTATCTGCAGACGATGGCAAGGCCTTGCTCAAAAATCCAAAGTGTCTGCACTGTGATTCACTAATAGGGGTTTGTCAAAGGCTTTAAACAGCATCTCTATTTGCCACTGACACTTCAAGTACCATTGGATCTTCTGGATCATATGACCCGGTGGCAGAGCAGTTTCCATGGCAGCCAGGCCCTATTGCAGAGGCCTCTCATGTTCTAGGCCTCACTCAAAACTGACACATTTTTGGATGATTCAGTAAACAGGCCAGAGTAATACATCCAAATGAAAAATATGTTGCTGACAAAATCCAAAGAGGTCCACTAGGTGTTGTGCTTCCTTAAAAAGGAACTAAAAGTTGTAGGATGATCCAGATGCTGTCCATTACCTCAGAAGGAATAGCTCAGCACATCCTACACTACTGGTCCTGTAGAAAGTTCACTGAGGTGAGAGGCCTCTGAATTTTTGTTGAGTTTATTCCTCTTCCCTTGGCATACAAATGTCTCACCAATAACTTTACAACAGTTGCTACTTCATATTTAAAAGGTCCAATCAACATGATATCATCAATGTAATGGACCAATGTGATGTTTTGTGGAAGGGAAAGACAATAAAGCTCCCTGCAGATTTAATTATGACATAGGGCTGGAGAGCTGATATACACTTGATGCAGTACACTGAAGTTGCATCGTTGGCCTTACCAGCTGAAAGCTTCTGGTGGTCTTTAGTCACAGCAATTGAGAAAGAAGTGTTTGCCAGATCAGTAACTGTGTACCAGGTACCAGGAGAAGTATGAATTTGCTCAAGCAATAAACAGAGCTCTGGTAGCATAGTGCCTAAGGCACTTGACTGCTAACCAGAAGGCTCGTGGCTGAAACCCACCAGCTGCTCCTCAGAAGGCAGGTTGGGCAATCTACTTCCGTAGTGATGTTGTTGTTGTTATGTGCCTTCATGTTGGACCTCTTAGCGACCCCTCCTTGGATTTCTGAGGCAGTATCACTATGGAAGTATATTGCCCAACCTTCCTTCCGAGGAGTGGCTGGTGGGTTTGAACCGCCAGCCTTTTGGTTAGCAGTCAAATGCTTTAGGCACTATGCTACCAGAGCTCCCTGTGATACTGCCTCAGAAACCCAAGGAGGGGTTGCTATGAGTCAAGTCCGACTTGACAGCACGTAACAACAACGTAATAATCTACTGTCATTCTCCAAAATACATGTTTTCTACACATGCCAAACAGGCAAGTTGAATGAGGATGTAGTGGGAATTACTACCCCTGCATTTTTCAAGTTCTTCCTGGTGGTATTAATCTCTGTAATCCCTCCAGGAATTCAGTATTACTTTTGGTTTACTATTTTCCTAGGTAGAGGCAGTTCTCATGGCTTCCACTTGCCCATTCCTACCAAAATACCTCTCATTCCATATGACAGGGAACCAATGTGAGGATTCTGTCAATTGTTGAATATGTATATTCCAACTGTGCACTCTGGAACTGAGGAAATCACTACAGTATGGATTTAGGGACCCACTGGACCCACGCTGAGATGAACCTCAGCTAAAACTCCATAGATAACCTGACCTCCTTACATGCCTACTCTGACTGGTGGACCACAGTGATGTTTTGGATTTCCTGGGATTAGTGTCAGTTCAGAGATATTGTCCAATAATCCCCGAAAGTTCTGATTATTTCCTTTTCCCCAATGAACAGCCACATTTCCCTGGCAAAAGGTTATAAATCCCTTTGGGGAAAGCTGAGAGGAATAGTCACAGCATAACTTTCTGGCACTGTAGCAGGATCTTCATTCAAGGGGTTGTGGGTCTGTAAACTGGCTCTATTCTGGGGATTGAGGGGCTCTATTTTGGTGATTCAAGTTAGACTTCTGTTCACGTGACCTAGAACTCTTCTGGTTATACGCATCAAGTAAATTAGTAGGCTTCCTATCTATTTTACTTCTCTGGAGAACATGACCAATGCCATAGGTCTATTCTAGTTAAGACTATTCTGATTACTTCTTTGAATCAGCTATTATTGCAACCACACCCACCTTGTCTTTGATGATTAAGTACTGCCGCTTGACCCCTGCCACCCCAGGATCCAAACATCCCCATTTCATTTAGGTTTCCCAATTTAGTGGCGGTAGTTCCCTCTGTAATGTCTGATTAAAGAGGAGAAAAATCATAGAATCTTCAAGGATGCTGGCACTCTCATCACAAATTTATTCTATACAATCCTGGTGAAAGATAGGTCCTCTGAGCACTCCTGAGATGGATGGGTGAGTCTGATATTATAAATCCATTCTAACATTTCAATTTCCCTAAGTCTTTGGATCCCCTTTTCTACAGTATACCAAGGCAGCTTTGGCATTTCAACTTGATTTAATATAGGCCACCTCTCAGTACATGTTTCAACCAACCAACCAACCAACCAACCAACCAAAGTGCTAGATCCCTTCCTAGTCCTTCTAGCTGAAACACTGAATGCAAAATCTCTGCTTACTGGGCCCATATCAATAAAATTCAGACTGATCCAACTATATGTTCCTTCTATCATTATCTCACACCCTTAAAAATCCATTCTCACATACATTACCCAGATTTCTATCTGTATTAATTAGAAAAATCATGGGGTATAGTGTACCTCCTCATGGGTCACACTTTGTACCTCACCTCTTAGGGCCTGCTGGGGCTTGAGTTAAGTTATAGGTGCAGCAGCAAAGATGGGTGTTGGGAGTGGGTCCTGGCAATTACATGTCCTCAGGCAAAACTGGATTAATCTCAGATGAGGTTGGAAGGGAGCTGTGTCTTACTTTGCTAGTGCTGCAGGAATAAAAAATACCACGAGGAGGTGGCTTTATAGAATAGAAATTTATTTTCTCACAATCCAGGCTAGAAGTCTGTGTTTAGGGTGTGGCTCTAAGGGGAGCTCCTTCTTTGTCTATCTTAGCTTCTAATAGCCAGCAATCCTTGGAATTCTTGGGCTTATAGATGCATCTGCCTTGTGTGTCTTCTTCATTTTTCATCTTCCTCGTGTGTCTCTGTGTCTATTCTTTAACTCAAAAGTGATATTTAGGATCCACCCTACAGTGGTATGACTTCATTAACATAACAAAAGATAAAACTTATTTTCAAACAGGAACACATCCACAGGTACAAGGGCCAGGAATTCAGCACATATTTTTTGAGGACACAATTCAATCCATAATAACCTGTATTGATTCTTTTCTTTTTTAGATAATATTCTACTGTGTTTTCAGGAAAAGTTTAAACAGCAATTTAGGTTCTCATTGAACAGTTACTACACATTGTTCAGAGACATTGGTCACATTTTTTTTCTTTTTGCTTATTTTACAACACAGCTTTACTTCGAAGAAGGCTAGTTAAAAAGTACAATAAAAATGCACAAATCAAACTTCAAAAGAGTCATTATGCTGTACACTTTCTTGTATTATGCTGTAAGTGAAGAGACAATAAAGTACTGCAGCTAAAATGTTTCAGGTGAGGAATAACTGACTGGAATGTTTCAAATTTCTTTAGTTATCCCGGGTCAAGTTGAGACCAAGAGCTTATGAGTTGAGCCTCAAAGATTAGTCTTTTCTTCTGGAAGAAATGTCAGTATCGATAGTCTTTCCCAACATTCAGCCTCAATCGCTTAGCTAGGGGAAGAGGAATAAAGTCATTTTCAAAGTTATTATCACAGTCATCATCCTCTTCATCACCCTGTGAAGAGGAGTCGTCATCAGTACATTCTTCCTTGTACTGACTGTAGTTGTCAACTTCCATCTGGGACTCCAGGAGAGAGGTGTCACTACAGCACACCCCATTCTCATGAAGGGCCTCTGCACGTGACCCCCTACCTTCCTCGTCCCGTTTCAGCTGGATTTTTAATTTTGTAGAACTACTGCCCGATCCTGAGTTAAAGCCATTATTCAGCTTTGTTACACAGCGATTATCATCATTTTCATTGTCATTACTCAACCTGATGCTTATCTTTGAAGAATTCATCCCATCATTCTCTTGGTCGTTGGTCTTGCGGCTGCTGTTGTGACACCTGTGAAGAGTTGATTTGGGAATCCTAGAGTTATTTTCTAGGATTAACTGTGCATCGTACCGTGTAATTCGCCTCTTCTTGCTCTTTGCAGTCCTAAAGGTGTCTTTTGCTTCACAGTTGTCTGATGTAACAGTCGAACAACGCACCGGCAAGGGAGTGCAGTCTGCGAAGCCTGCAGGCACGCCCCCCGTGCCACTGTGTTCACCCTGGTCAGAATGGGAGCCTGTCACATCTGGCCCCACACTGTCTTTCTTGGGGGAGTCATGTGTGGGAACAGACTCCTCTGTTTTGGTGAACTGCTTCACAAACTTTCCTTGTTGTGATTTCTTTTTTGACTTGCTGTTGTCACTCTTGTGACACTGTGCATCTCCCTTGTGTGTGGTTGCATGAGCCAAGTCCTTCTCCTGCAGCCTGGGGACTAGCTGATTGCCCCCAACTGCGCACGGTTCAGCTGTGCTGTCCTTGTAGCTGTCCAGTGCATTTAGGTCCAGCTTGATGTCAGAGGCCTCCTTCAGGCTCATCCTCCTCCTTACTGACCACCGGGTGACGTAAGGGCAGGGTGAGCCCTCTCCCTGTGTGCGAGCACCTTTCACAGAGTTTTGTCTGTGTTCTCTCGCTGCATGTCTAGTCAAGCACCCAACGGTCACTCCAGCTGGTACTGGTCCCTCCAGCTCCTTATCTTTTTTAATGGGCAAATTTTTATACAGAACTTCTTCAGGCTCTTTAAGTACTAAGTCTCCCGTTTCCAGTTTTCTGGAAGTACTCTTTTGCTCTAGCCGTTTGCAATTATTTCTTAATTTTATCTTTGAAAGTAAAGGCTTTGTAGGCTTTTTCAGTTTCTTTGGTACCCTGGAATTATTTATGTGAGTTATTTTAGATGAGGTAGAGTTGGACGAAGCTGGAATTCTTGACAGAGACTGCATGGTTAATGTTCTGCTTCTGCTGTTCTTTTTTACACCAACTGAAGATTTTCGGTTAGAAGTTGCATTGTTTTTTTCCTGAGTGGTCTCTGCATCAGTGTTAGAGCTGACAGACTGACTGTCTGAATTTTTGCTATTGTCACCTAACTTTTTAAGCCTATTTAAACGTTTATCTGTTTCTCTGAGTCCGTATTTGCTGTTGATAACAGGACCAGGCACAGGCAGTCCTGCTCTGGATTTAAAAGCACCAGTTCCCCGTCTTTCACAAGTGTAACACTCACAGAACTCATTATTTTCTCCAAAAAATCCATCTCCATAATAACAAGAAATTTCTTCTCCAGGCTCGATATCTCTTAAAGCCTTCACACATGCGGTGTCTCGGCCAGTTGACATAAACTTACAGTTAGGTCTGCAATCATGGTTTATGAATGCAGCAGGACCAAGCCAGAGTTGAGAACAGTTTTTCCTTGTGGAATACATGACGCTGAAGTCGTTTTCTCCATGTCTAAGTAGCATGTTTTCCTCAATTTCTGAAAGTTCAGCAATACAACCAACTAGTAATTCTATTTTGTCATTTCGTTTCCATTCTTTTGTTGCAACTATTTTGGCTCCATTTTGTTCTGAAGAGTATCTATTACAAGGCAATATCTCAAATCCACTATCAGTTGCAAACATTCGCAAGTAAATAAATACATGTTCTTTGAATAATTTCTCCTGCATTTTGTTCTTGTTAAGGAAATAATGCCGTGCCCATTCACCTGAAGTCAGACATCTGAAGGCTTTCTCCAAGTGCTCATCTTTTTTAAAACGTTCAATCACTTCCTTCAGTTCTTCCTGCCTCCCTTTAATAGGCCAAAACCTCACAGGGTTGTTGTTAGGTAAAGTGTCAGATTTTGAGAAAAGCCTTGAGCTCCTCGAAGGAAAGGCGCTAGTATTCATTTTGTGTGTTTGAAAACCTAAATAGGGATCAAGAACCAAACTGGTTGCTAGGTCATCATTTTCACAAAGTTCTTTGGCAGACATTCCAGAAGATGGAACATATCGAGTCTGTCCTTTACATCTGCTTGACCTCCTCTCAACTGCATTTTTGCCAGCCTTCAGGGTGTCCTTTCCCGGGTGCTGTAATTTTGGCTGTTTCTGCTGATGGTCATTAGACAACTTGCCTCCATTTTTCCTGCCATTCACCATCATGTTTCTGGGGTTTCCCAACCACTTAATACCACAGACCCAGGAGCATTTAGTCCCTCTCTTCAAATAGCTTAGAGAGTAAGTTCAACGTTCTCTCCTCCGCCTCGCGCGCCGCCGCGGGGCCCGAAACGAATCGGCCGGCCTCGGGCCTCCGCGTCCTGGTCGTCGCGCCGCGCGGTGCCGCTCCGGTCCCGGCGTCCTCACCTCATAGCTCCGGAGCGCCCTTCGTCACCGCAGCCGAGTCGCCGCCCCCGGTTAGCCACCCAGATGCCGGCCGGAAACGTGGAAGGATACGAAAAGGGGTCGCGCCACCGACGGCGGAGGAACACCACGCCGGCCGTATTCCGACTCGAGCACGGCGCCCCCCGCCCGGCGAGGAGGGGAGGAGGAAAGGAG